ACTTACTACTTGTACTACTATTCCTACTTTGCGGTTTGCCCCTTATCGCGGGTCTTCAGGGTACGGATCCCCGGCGATAAACGAGGGACTACTGTACTCAAATGTAAGTACTTGTACATACATTGTTTTTTTTTAAGTGATATTTCTTCATCCTTAGACTTTATGGATCCAATAATTGGAAGTTGCATGGAAATGAGCTTCTTAGTCCGCTGTACGCAGGTTCTGTATGTCCATCCTAAAGCTGTATAATATTGCTCCTCTATGCTGATAAAAACCATTTCATGAATGTCTGAACAGCATAACGGTAAACTTGTCCAGAATAAGCCTCCAAAACTCAGAGACACATCAGTGCAATAATTAGTAGCTCAGCTGTTTCTCTCCTGAACCACAAACATCCTCATTCTGTCCTAAAAAAACAGCAAGTAGTCGAACGCATCAACATAAATGCCTTGCTGCAGTCTTAAGAGCAAGCTGCTGCACTTTTCATGAAAAACTACAGAAGAAATAGACCCAAACCAGGCCACTTCTCCAACTCTAATAGCTTTTTGTTCTGATTGGCTTCAGGCCAGCTAGCATTGTCTGGTGATGGTGAACAGGAAAAGGAAGAGGATCCTTTGCAAGAAAGGGGAAGCAAAAAAGATCAACGAGAAAAAGAAAGCAAAAGTAGGTGACGGATGGAGAGGTCAATACAGCGAAGAAAGAAATAAAAGAACACCTGCAATCAAAATATAATTACAATAATATTAGGTCTTTGGTAAGAAGACACAGCTTCTTATTTTTGATCAGAAACACGTTGCCACTACAGTCAGAGTCTATGAAGAACAAACACACACACCTGTTGATAGGTGGCGCCCCCTGGGCTCGGGGGACTGGAAGACCGAGCTAACGTCTCCAGTGGACTGGGAAGACTTGATCCTCACCTGCTTACATGGTACATGATGAGAGTGGGAGGAGGCCTGCAGAGACGGGACGGGAGGAGGAGAAACATGTGACTTAACAACTGCTTAATGTCAGCGAGCCATTTAAAAACAAGAAATAAGGAACTTGGGTTTTTCACAACCGGAATCTGAGGTGAAGAAACGGCAGCGGTGCAACGGGATACTGCTGATACAGTGTGTGTGTGTATGAATCTCACATTGCTGTGCTCCGGCGTGAGAAGAAGTATCCTGATGCTCTTCATGTTGGAGCTTCTGTCGAGCAGGTCTACTGCCTTGTCCAGGTCATCCTGACCCCTCAGAGGAATGGACATCTGCAAAAACACAAATCGAGCAACAAAAGAAAAATCAAATAAAACACACGTTGCAACTAAAAATGAGCACTGCGAAGTTTTAAAATGCATAAAAGTTTAAACAACAAAGAAAAACAGAAGTATGTAAGAACAGCTGAGGTACAAGCACAACCTTGCAGTCTGAAACTTTTCTGTTTCTGAGCCACAAAACAAAAAGCTGCAAAGACTCGTGGCCCCAACGATTTATGATTCAGCTGAAGTGGAACTGTGTGAATAAGCCATTTAACAGTTTTGTCAAACATTATACACGTTTTATGCATTTGCCACCATATTTTTTTTTTATTTGTAACAATTATGGCTAAATATGTTGTGGACACTCGTTTTTAAGTCCATTTGATTTCTGTACATGTTCTCAAGAACCCCCACTTTGTGTTTCAGGACTCAAACTTTCAGAACCAACGTCAAGTTTTCAGCCAATAACTCTTTAGGAATCACCTTGACGGTGCTAAAATTTTACTTCCTGTCTGTCAAACTTTCATTCTTCCCGTTTTTCACGACTAAAGTTGTCGGTTATGTTTTAGCAAAACACTAGGAATATTTTAAACCTGAATGATCAGAGTCAAAGTGGTTCAATGAATAAAAGAAAAACAAACCTGGACTGGGAAATCAGGGAAATAGCGGCTGAACCCTACGAGTTCAGCTTGTGTGATATTAAATGAAGTTGTTCATCTTTCCCTGCGTGCAATATCCCATTTAAAAAATACTGAAGAGGTGAAAGAGGGCAGGAAGACTTTAGCTTTTTCAAACTTCACCTCGTTGTTTAAATAATGGAGGTCCAACTGCAGCCCAAACACACCCTCGACTTTCTGCTGAACCTCCTCAAACCGCACGGGCCTTCCAAACATCAGGATTCTGCACAGAAAGAGCAAGAAATCACAGTCGGACAGATTACAAGTGATTCGTAACTGTCGTCGCAGAGCAGCTTTTGACTCGTAAAACACGCGCGCGCTGCTGGTCCGAGTGTGCGCGGATTCCTCCGAGTGCACCTTGCATATTTGTGGTTTGAGCTGGCAGCGACGAGCTAACCGCAGCCTTTTCCCCTTCCACTCTCCAGCTTACATACCAGCCTGATTCAAAGCGCTGCAGTGCTCCTGCTCATGAACTGCAGCGCGTGACGAGAGCGAAGCGAGCGTGTTCACGTTAAATAAGAGTTTCTGCTCTCACTTCTATATAAACTACAGAAGAGAACGTTAGCGCACGACTGTACATAAGAACTGGAAAAAAGGCCATCAGTCTGCATTTCTTCTGCCCATTAATGTCAAGGGTTTAAGTAAAGATAGTATGCATTGAGTTGTGCTTAAAGTGTGTGTTGGGTAGGATGCTCAGCTACTACCACACCAAATTTGAGCTCAAAATCTGTAGATATATTTGCATTTCTCAATCAGCTGATTGAGCAAAAACTCACCTCCTCTCTCCCGTGTACTCAAACTTTATCCTGACATCATCCTAAAAGGACAAAAAAACAAATTAAAGAGAGTTCATTTTCATGCCTGAACCCACTCCTCATTTTATTAGATGTTAATTTGTTTAAATGGCAAACAATTTTGCATCTATATGCATTTTATTTTTATTTGGAATGAGTTAGATGAGAGCATCGGCTCGAGATAAATAAGTAAACATGAAACAAAAGCCAGGATCCGTTCGGTTGAAATCAGACTGGAAACAGAGAGAAGATCTGGCTCGGTTTGACCCAAACGTAACAAACTGCATCTACCGGCTCCGCTGAAACTCGTCAGCTCAGTTTTTATTCTCACTTGGAAATTTTCACAGAGAAACATTTATGTAAAATTACAAACTGGCATCAGATTTGGAATTCTGACCGTAACTGGCAACTTGAATAATTCCAGTCACGGACGTTTTGTAGTTTTTTTTTTCTTCTTAATTCACAAAAGACCCTAAAAACAGAGGATCAGAACGTTAAAAATTAGTTTTCTGAGCCAAGCAGGCTGTTTGATTTCCAGCCTTTATTTACAGCAAACCTGTTTGAACCATAAGCAACACACATTCTGCACGGAAACGTGCACATTTTTAATTTTCAGATGTAACTTTTTGCAAGATGGTGTCTTAAAAAAAGTGATTTATTTACTTTTTTCCAACAAACCTGGACTGGCAACAATATTTACTTTGGTTGACAACTTTTGGCTGTAATCAGAATCAGAATAAGCTTTAAGAGAACGTGCACATGCAGCCGTCTGAAAGATGGACGGCGTGCACGAAGCTGCTGCTATAAAGCGCGGCCTTCTTATTCTTACTCAGAATACTTTTTTTTAGATAGAAAAAGGGACAGAGCCATGAGGAGAGGGGTAGTGGCATCACAAAAAAGATCTCTTCACATCTTGTCCTTACGATTTAAGACGTCAAAAACTCTGCCAGCTAAAGCACATTTACGAACACGCTACATATGCATTTACAACGAGGCGGTCCATGAGGCACTAACAGATGGTCCATTGTCCCGATAAGATGATGGTCAGCCAGCACAGTTCTAATAAGACGCCACAGAAGTGTGTGGGGGGTGTTGCGATAGACGAAGCTTTTACACATTTCCCAGGAGAAATTGATAAGTCGGCCTGTTCCGAGGCCAGCAGGGGAGAGGTTCAGATAACCACAACTGCTGATTTATTCAGGCGGACGATTTTCCGTCAGCCTCGAGTCTGTATTGATACTTCCAAGGTCCGAAATGGTCAGATTAGGGTGCATTCCACTGGTCCGTGCTTACGAGCCTCTTCAAGATGGTGAATTCATGCTGATGCAGGTGGCATCCGATTCAAATCAACTCCAACTTACGGTTTCGCTCGTAAATCAGCTGATTTTGAGTCCTCCAGCACGAACCAGACCTTCACATAAGACAGCAGCTTGTCGAGGTCCAAATTAGCTGCGGCCGTCTTTGTATGTTGATAAGGCACCAGACTATTCCAAAAACAGGAAACCCGTTATCATAAATCCAATTATCGGCAATTTCAGCTGATAATTGGTCGGTTGATAGCAGAGGTAGACACATCCCCCCCCCCAGAGATATATCCAGCTGCACATCTCATCCGAGCAGATGAGGGTTCTCCAGGAGCCTGTCGCTTTGTTGAAAGAATTGTAAAATACGTCGAAAGTTCAGTTGGTCAAAAAACAGGAGCTGCTCCGATAGACAGAGAGCAAAAAAAGCAGGAGGGAAACGGAGCGTGCGCCTCGCTAGAGAGCTAACGCTCAAAATGCTTCTGTAGAAGAAGAAAGACGATGCCTGGAATATGATCACTTTGTTCGCCGACTGTAGGTCGGGGAAAACGTTGTGTGTGAAGAAAGTTGAGCTTTCTAAAAGAATTCACACTCCTCTGTATGAACAAGAAAACTATTTTGGGACTTCTAGCTCTGTTGAGCTTTATAGTTTTACGTTTCCAAACAATCTAACAACTTTTGTTTCAGCGCTTTTCAGCCGCTCGTATATCAACAAAACGTTCAGCTCGTTCTGGAGATGAGTGCGTTACTTTTGGCTTCTGTAACATTTAGGCCTTTTCAAAACATTTACGTCATTTAAGAAGATTTTCTACATAGAAATACATCCTCGTTTCAAAACATTGCTCTCTTTGAAATCTAAATCGGCATTCTTCCTCTATTTTTATCAGCTTGAGCGGTTTAGTTTTTAGCTAAGGTTTTGCTACTTTTGGTTAGCCGTTTGCTATTTTTAGATGGCCTTTTGCAGCTTTTAGCAAATGTTTTGCTTCTTGCAGGTTTTAGGTTTTAGTTTTTACTGAATTTAGCTCCTAGCTACCATTTTGCTACTTTCAGCTGTCAAATTTCCAAAACACTATTAGATAAATATTTTGCATAGTAGCTAAAAGTAGCGCTACATTGAACTAGCAATTTGCTACTTTTTTCTTCTGGTTAGCCTTTGGCTACATTTAGCACTTAAATGTTCATCCATCCATCCATTATCTTTACCCGCTTCTTCCTTTTTGGGTTGCGGGGGTCACTGGTGCCCATGTCCAGCCATCGTTGTGTGAGAGATGGGAGACACCCAGGACAGGTCTCCAGTCCATCACAGGGACACATAGACACAAATGAGACAAAACAACTCTCTCACTCACACCTAGAGAAAATTTAGAGTTACCAATCAGCCTAACATGCATGTTCTTGGTCTGTAGGAGGAAACCGGAGTAGCCGGTAGTGATGTGCGGATCGATACTAAAATATCGATGCCAGAACGTTTCCCTCTAGAATCGACGTTTAAATCAAGCTTCTTCGCCGCTCGTCACACAATTTACAATTTCTCTAACGTTTAAACAACGCTGTACCTTTCTGTTAGCCTGTGCCGCTGTCTTTGGTTTGCCGCCGCCGTCGTAAGAAAACACCGGCTGGCGGCGCGTCATCTGGAGGGCGACCAGGTCCTTCATAATGGAGTGGAGAGCCTGCCTCTCATCTGCAGAGAACGGTGATACAACACACCGTCACGGCAGAGTGGAACACAGATCGCGTGTTTGGCAGAAAGAAGCATGCAAGCGCTTCATGTTGCGTTCAAAAGGTTAAATGAGGGCAGCTTTGTGTCCACATTTAAACTTCAACTATGCTGCAATACAGAATTACAGATGAAGACTTTTGATAGGACTGTTCCCATGTTTGATCTAAGGACAGGCTCTGCTAACTCGCAAAGAGAAAATATTCCCTCTGTGTAGTTTGGACAAACATCATACAGCCCCGGGGAATCTGAGGGAACCAGAACCCCTCCTTAAGAACGCCAGAACCCAGTCCTTCACCTGACCGTGTCTGGAGCAGCCGATTGCTCAGGCTTTAAATAATGCGTCTGTTCTTATCTTATACTTTGATGAAACTGTGCACCAAATGTCCGTTTAACGTAAAGAATTAGACGACTTACTCATTGTGGCTGCGATTGGTCCACAAACCAGTATTCAGACTTTTGTCTCCGATGGGCCGAACCACCTACAGCCTGCGACAAACACAAGATTTAATATCTTTAAAGTCAGAGCTGAAGGTTGTTAGTCATTGACACAAACAGGATATGATCACAAGGGGCGAACAACTCAGACCCTAAACCATCACTTCATAAAAATAGACTAAAAGGCCAGAAGTAACAAAAAAATCTGAGCATCAAATCTGAAAAAGATGAAGCTGTGCTCGGCTCTTCTTACCGTTTAAGGCGTCATCTTTTATAGTAACTAACGCTGAAAAGTACATCACAGTATTTAATGTGATTCAGAGAACCGGCATAAACACTTCCTTATGCAGGAGGCCTTAAAGGCATGAAACCAAAAACTGCAGAAAGAAGGAAAATCTTCTCACTGAATGAACATCGGAGTGAACGAAAAGACGAAAACGCGTGCAGAGAAATGTTAAAGCGCGTGCTCGTCCACGTGAGAAAAGAATGTCGATTGGAAACGGCTGAAATTCAAGCTGCACTGGCAGCGTTCGCTCTGGCTCACGTCGTATGGGAACGCTTTCTTTATGAGCAGCTTTCTGCAGTTTTTAAAAAAAGATATAAGCCAGCTTTAAACAACTCTGGCTGCACGAGCAGAAACACCAGATGCGTCGTAAATCTGCAGCTCATGCTAACGAGGCGATAAAACCCCCGTTTGAGGCGTCAACGCCGCACACAGGAGAGGGCTTCCTTTCATTTGTACTAAATTATTATTATTATGGAATATTGTGAATTGTTTCCCCCCCAACTAATTTTCAAAATGTTTCTTTTTTTTTATGTGCAAGCTAACCACTAGTGCTGCTTTAGCTACTCATAAATCAAAACCTTCGGCTCATTCAGAAGATGAATGCTAACATTGTCTTTGTTTTGCAACTTTTATACTCATATTTTACCCATTTTTTAAACATATATTTTCTCTAAATAATTCTGTAATTTTAGTCAAAAACTTTGTTCTCTTTGAAACCTGCTTCAGCGTACGTACACACGGTTAACGTGCACACTATTTGTCTTATACTTAACTTTTAGCTTACCTTTAGCTACTTTTTGTTTTGGTCAGTCTTTAAATAATATAAATTGTTAGCCAATCTTTATCTCAGCTAGCCAATTAAAACTTTTAGCTAGCATTTTGATACTTTTAGCTTCTAAATAACCTTTTTTTTGTATTTAGCTAATATTTTACAATTGTTAGCTTTTAGCTTACCTTTAGCTACTTTTTGTTTTGGTCAGTTTTTAAATAATATAAACTGTTAGCCAATCTTTAGAATATCTCAGCTAGCCAATTAAAACTTTTAGCTAGCATTTTGATACCTTTAGCTGGCCTTTAGCCACTTTTTGTTTTGGTCAGTCTTTAAATAATATAAATTGTTAGCCAATCTTTAGAATATCTCAGCTAGCCAATTAAAACTTTTAGCTAGCATTTTGATACTTTTAGCTTCTAAATATTTTTTTTTTTGTATTTAGCTTATAGTTTACAATTTTTAGCTTTTAGCTTGCCTTTAGCTACTTTTTGTTTTGGTCAGTCTTTAAATAATATAAATTGTTAGCCAATATTTAAAATATCTCAGCTAGCCAATTAAAACTTTTAGCTAGCATTTTGATACTTTTAGCTTCTAAATAACTTTGTTTTTGTATTTAGCTAATATTTTACTATTTTTAGCTTTTAGCTTGCCTTCAGCTACTTTTTGCTTTGGTCAGTCTTTAAATAATATAAACTCTTAGCCAATCTTTAGAAATTCTCAGCTAGCCAATTAAAACTCTTAGCTAGCATTTTGATACTTTTAGCTTCTAAATATATATTTTTTGTATTTAGCTAATACTTTACTATTTTTAGCTTTTAGCTTGCCTTTAGCTACTTATTGTTTTGGTCAGTCTTTAAATAATATAAATTGTTAGCCTATATTTAAAATATCTCAGCTAGCCAAATAAAACTTTTAGCTAGCATTTTGATACTTTTAGCTTGTAAATAACTTTTTTTTGTTGTTTTTAGCTAATATTTCACTATTTTTAGCTTTTGGACAGTCTTTAGATACCTTTAGTTATTAGCCAAGTATCACTTTTAGTTAGCCTTTTGATAATGTCAGCTAACCTTTTAATAATTTTAGCTAACCATTTGTTACATTTAACTTCTAGTTGGCATTTTGCTACTTTTAGTTTTTCACAAGTCTTAAGATACTTTTAGCGGTTGGTCAGCTTTACTTAGCTTTGTAATACTCTTAGCTTTTGGCTAACCTTTTGTGTTATTATTTTAGCTGTTAGCCGGCTTGTTTAATCGTTTATGGCTATGATTAATTTTCAGTCTGTTTTCTGTCTACTTTTCATAAACTTGGCAACCAGGGAGCGACAGACACAGCTGTTTGGTTACCATGGTGACTATAACAAGCCACAGCAGCAGCTTTAACATTTAAAAAAAAAAATCATACTTCTCTTTACACTTCTTGCAAAGTTCATGTATTAAAATGTAGCCCTTTGTGTTTAGATTATTTCAGAATCGACGTCGGACCCGTTGGGAACTCTTCAGAACTTTTTCTAGTCTTAATTTAAGAAGCTGTTCACGAACCAAGTTTCATTTGATGCTGATTAACCTGAAGCCGCCCACAGATTAAATTAAAAATTAAAATAAGAAAGACGCTGTACTCTGACGTTTGCGGTGACTTTCCCAGAGATGGAGCTAAAAACTGATTCGACTCTGAAGTTCACCGTGACGTAAAACGCAGGCCGGAAAGAAAAACTCCAGCAGAGTCCGAGGACCGAGGTCACCTGTCCCAGCTCCACGGCTGTGGAGAAAAGGGGTGACGCTGCATAAAATAAGCAGCATCTGCACCTGAGGCACCTGAGGCACCTTACACACAACGACTGAGGACTTCTGGGTAATAATCACCCAGAGGAATGCCGGCAGAGCGTGACCACAGCTTTAACGTTTCCTCTACTCTCAGACGGCCCTGCCACAGCGACCGGTCCCAAAACTCCTCCAACATTTTTCAAAACCCTGAACTTGATGGAGAGGGAAACTCTCACGGACTCATCAGTTTTTCTCTTGAAGAATAATCAACTTAGACATCTCAGATGGCACTTCCTCTCTTCTCTCCCCTCCTTTAAGTGAAGTTAACCGCCTCCTAGGAGGAAAAGTAATTTAATTGAGAACAAGGTGACTCTGAACCAATCAGGTCAGCTCTGCCCACTCGCCCCTCTGTCTGCTCTGAGGGCTGTTTAGTCGGGGGCAGTTTTTCCACTTCGTATCGGGCCAGAGGTGCATCTGGACTCACAGCTTCACATCCAAACCCCCCCGACCCGATGCCTCTCCTGTTTCAGGTGCACATGTGCTTTTGGTTTAGGGCAACCCGGCACATTTACATATTTCTAAATCGACAAAGCGTGAGAGTGCTGGCTTTGGCCACGTTAAGCTTTTCCTGTGCAGCGTTTGTACAATGGAAAATAAACTGAAGTATTGAAAACACGTCGGAACGTGCAGGTTTTGATTCGAACATCCTCTTAATTCATAGTTTTGAGGTCAAAGGCTGGTTCTTCTACGTGTGACAGCTCAAACTAAAATGTGCCACCGCCTCATTTAGTCGTTATATCCAGTCGAAGCATCACGACGACCGCCCAGTTTGACCACACAAGAATGCAACGCTTCCACAAAAATCCCCCGCCAGCGTTCACGCCAGAGCTTCAAACTAGGGGTGCACCGATAAATCGACCTCGATTTCCTTAATTTTGGGTGATCGGCGATCGATCGATGCTTTTTGTAGTTTTAACAATTGTCTAAACTTCATTTATATTTCAGAGCTACGACCTCACGGCCAGTTAAAACAAGTTTGTATTGTTTCTAGGATATTGTTCAAGGGTATGTTTTTCAATAAGATCAAAAAACTGACGGTGCATTATGACCTTACACCTGAGTGTCGCTTATAAAACAAAATCGGAATGAGCAGGTCAGGCTTTTTAAGAGATGATGATCGGCCAGAAAACTGCAATCGTGCACCCCTACTTTAAACTGAAATCGTTTTACGATGAAGGTCATACCTTGTAAATGACATTACGTTTAATTTAATGTTGTATTGTATTATCTCACATGGTCCGCTTGCACCAAAAATGCGTGTTGAGGATGACTTTCAGCGACTACCACTCCAACTTTGCTCATTAACCGTAAAGTTGACTGACTTTAAGTCATTTACTTATTGGCTAAGGGTGATTACCTGTGGTGGACATCTTTAATTTGATTAACTCTAAAAGTCAATGTGCTGTACAGCAACTGTCATGGAGGCAGACGGCCGCGCGGTTCAGGTTCTTTCTGTTCAAAGTCTGTCATTTCTTTCCACTGTCGCCAACGTGCTGCTCTTAACTTCATCATGCACTATATGTGAACGGTGTGTCACTCACGTGAACGTCTCACCTGACAGATGTCTTGTCCATAGAGAGAAGCTCAGATAGAGAATCACCACCATGGATGATGGAGGGGGCAACCCCCCCCAGGGATCGGGGGGCTTTCCCGGAAAGTTTAAAGCAAACAAAGTATTTCCAGGTGTCAAAGATAATAATAATAAAAAAATGTATCAGAAAGGCTGTGAGCTCCAAATGTTCCTGTGGAAAATCCTACATCTGACTGCTGCAGCTGAGGCCCAATCGTTTGTGCAGCTGCAGCCTGGCATCTATGGAAAACTCACATTTCCAAAACATGTTTAGTAATTCTCCCTGCATGTTTTCAGCTTCCCCTGAAATGTTAAATACAGCCAAAACGACCAGACAATGAAATCCACCTCTCCAGAGGGAAAACACCATCTGATTTATTTAATTTTCATGGGATGTTTTCCTGCTAACTTTGCAGATTTTTCTAAACAGGTTTTGCTCCAGATCTTTTTTTTTTTTTTTACTCATGAATTTGCTCAAAACTGCTTTGTTGCCTGAATATGACAATAAACCTTATCATGTGAGTACTTCAGGGACCGTCCCTACTGCTGGAATTCAGAATGTCAAGCTTGCACTAAAACACAACAATGGGAGAAAAAGCTACTATAATTACACATTTAAAGAAAAAAATACTTTTGACAGTTTGTTATACGGACTAGTTTTATGTCAGAGACTCCAAAGTGAACGAAGGTCTCGGAAAACTTCGTTAAGGCGCAAACTTTAAAAATGCGTATCCTGGAATGCGCCTGTTACAGCCAAGCTAAAGTCGAATTAATTTATAAAATCCCAGTGTTTGTTTAATAAGACGGTACCAAAGTCTCCGCGTGGGGCCAGCGGTAGCCCCGCAGCTTTTCACAACCAAAACAAAGCAAGAAATAATCTCCAACCGAGTGCGTCAAACTTCCTGACGGAACAAAAAATCGCCACCGGAACCCGCGTTTCTTCTTCCAGCGAATCGTGAAAACTTCTCGCCATGGAGGCGTCCAGTGTTTCCCCAAACGCTTGTTTTTCGTGCGTCCACAAGTTTGTAATAACATGGATTAACTTTGGATTGTTAAACCGTCTAAATTACCACCGTGTAGCCGCGGGGACGCGCTGTTACTCGGTAGTTTTTTTTTTTTAATCCTTCGGACGCGCGCAGATTTTTGGAGGGGCGGGGCATCTATGACGTCGGTGAGGCGTTCAGAACTATCGGAAAGTAGAAAGCATCGAAATGCATGGATTTCCTCCCGCCCACCGTTAAATGAAAAGTTGAAAACACAAGTTGGCACTCCTTGGAATGCGTATCGCCCGCCGCCTTTTTCACGCAACTGTTTTAGACTGAGATGATTTATAAAGAGGTCGGAGTTACAGCTGTTTTGGTCAAATCTTCATGTCAAACTCAAGGCCCGGGGGCCAAATGTGGCCCTCATTGATATCTTATCTGGCCCCCAAGATGATTATGTTAAACGTAAAATACTTTTATCACTTTAATTTTTTTCCAGTCATCTTTGATTATTACGTTGAAAGTGCAACAGGGAAAGCCAAATTAGATCATTTAAACTTTTGCTGAGGAACCTGCAACCAAGAAAAGACATTGGGTATGACTTGAGTTAATGAAGATTCTGAAACTGGCCCTTAGTTTGAAAAAGGTTTTAATTTTGGCCCCCATTTGTAAGTGAGTTTGACACGTGTGCATGTGTTGAGAATAACTCTCAGTTCCTACATCAAACTGTATTATTGCCCTTTTATGTTTTCTAAGGTCAGTTGGTTGTGGCAGCCATCTTGAATTGAGTTGGCTCCTAAAGTTGATCCGTTGAAGACGTGACTAAAAGATTATCTCCTGAAAATTTTATTAAAATCCATCTGGCAGCTCATGAGGTATTTTGCTAACAGACTGACTGAGCTGACCACCACACCTAATTTCAGGTCACTTTCAGTAGATGTGTCTGTAAAACGACGTGTTGTAGGAATTGACGTCATGTTTTTGACTGAAAACTGAAGAATATTTTGGTTTGCATGGAATCCAAGTCACTGCATTAAGTCAAGACAAACATTTTATTTTACTTTATTTTCAAAATCATGTAAAAAAAAAAGAAGTAAAAATAAAAAAAAATGATTGTGTATTGATGTAAAAATGAGGAGTTACATTTAAAAATGTTCCATAGCACAACGTTAAGAGGATGTCGGGGGCAGACAGACTGCAAACACAGTCCAGGCCTTCTTTTTGCTCTAAGGCCACCTCGGTCCTCGGGTCAAGTCTGGATTACAGAGGACACCTTCAAAATGCTTACATTTATAACGTCTCGGTGACAACAACAACACAAGACGTGATGACGATCAGATTAAACATTAAAACAGCATTCACCTGAGCCTCGTGGTAAAATGTACCTCATCTGCTTTGACACTATGCAAATTCACAGATTTCGTAGTTGTTGTACCTTGACAAACCGTGGAGAACGACAAAGACGGTCATTTTTTATACAATTCTCTGTGATCCAGAGTTTTAAATTTAAAAATGACAAATGAAAACAAACACAGAGGATTAGGATTATTTTACATGTGAGCAAACGCTGAAAGAAAAGGCTGCTGGTTCGGTGAGGGGTGACAGCGTGAAGAGGATCGTCTCCAAACCGTACGAACAGAAAAGAACACACAATACGGTGAGCTGTTTATTTCTAAGGCTTAAAAAACATTTAAGTTTGACCTTTTCTGCACAGCATGCTCAAATTCACAGTAAACCTTCAGTCACACAAAGTACTTCATGCCATTCAAGTGTCTGAAATATGCACACATTTTGCTATAAAATGAGTTACTTTAATGGCTTAAGATCGTGTTCTAAAGAAAAATAAACACAAATTTTATTTAATTTGATTTTTTTTTTTCAAGGTTCTACAAATAAAACGGATGAAAAGTGGATGTGCAGCAGCCGCACTGAAGACTGAGGCAACATATTGAAAAAAGGCCATGTTGAGGTTAGGAGCAAATGAATTCCTGTTCTTTCACGCTGCCGTCGCACGTTCTCCAGCAGGGGAGGCTGTGCACATGCAGTCTGCAGGCACACATCAGGGGACCAAACTAGCATTAACAAGAACAGGTCCACTTGCTCAGCTGCATGAGGCCAATAAAACAGGAGGAACCGAAAACAAGGCATTGATTAAAAAACAAACGGTTTTAGACAGAATAGGAGGGATAAATGGACAATACTAAGATTACTACGATTTTGTATGAATAAATCATGTGATCATAATTTCTTTTGCATCTTCAGAACCGATTAAAACGCCTAGAATTTCTTGAAAACTATGCATATCGTCGAACGCCCTTTAAAGGTAGAGATTTACCGTATTTTTCGGACTATAAAGGTGCAATATCAATGAAGAAGGCGCACCGGATTATAAGGCGGATTAAGCGAAACTAAAACCTTTTGACAGATTTTTGAGTGCCGTGTACCACATAAAATCAGTTCGAGGTCGGTAAGCACAACAGAATTAATACATAAGGCTCACTGTTGATTTGTGAGAAAATTAAAGGATTTTAAGTGTGCCTTATAGTCCAAAAAGTACGGTAAACTAAAATCATTTTATGCTGAGAAACTGAAACTTGAAGTTAGTGCTCAGACTGAGTGTTTGGGATGACTCAACAGCAGCTGTAAAACTGATTGATTTGTATTTATTTATGTGTTTAAGGCCGCTTGGTTGTGGCGGCCATGTTGAATGCTTGACTCCAAACATTAATCAGCTGTAGTTTTACACCTTACGACTCTGAGTTTCATCAAAATAAAATAAAAATCAGTCTGCTCTGCCTCCAGCAACAAAACCAGAAGTCCAGTAGACTTTGATTCTTGCAGGATTTAAAATTATAACCTGAATGCCTGAAAATCTCCACCTACATAAACTCTATGGGGAAAAAATGATCACTCAGTTAAGACATTAAACAACTAACATGCTTGAGACGACAAAGGAGCATATTTAAAAAAAAAAACCTTTAAGGTTAGCTTCTCTAATCATTTATGAAGTAAATAAAATTGCAACAATTATTGTCACCAAAAGTTTACAATCACTTTTAAATGATTTAAGACGAAGCCTCAGTTTGCAGTTGACTTTCAACAACTTGACGAATATTCACGCTTATTTGTGCAAAGTAAGAGTGCGGCGAAGTGGGAAATAATCACAATCCACAGATCTATGTACAGACAGTATACAAAATTGGTTTCTTTTTTCAAGAAGTAGTTTCCAATGCACCACAACACAAGAGATCAATGCAGTCCCAAACTAAGGCTATGTTTGGTCCAGTCACACTAACATGCAAACACAAGACTGAGTGGTCATTAAAATAAAACTAAGTACTGTGGGATGAATTCAGGAGTAGTAGAAATAATTGCAAAAACACGAGGTGAGCTGTTGTTGATGTGCACGGTTATCATACAGTACTCTGCACCCTGTTTGTTCACATACAAGCTCATCTGACGGCATACAAGAGAAAAGGATTATTTCCTTCATAGTTTTGTTAAAACGAGGCAAAACACGAGATTTAAACATTTCCTTGATCCTTGGGAGAAAAAACCTGACCTGAGTGCACGCTCTGCTGCAAACACTGAAACGTTTTTGAAATGTTTGCCAGTAAAATTAGTACACAACAACAACACAAAATAAAAAAAATAAATGGTGCAGGTTCTGTTTATGATTCAAAAATACAATTCTAATTATATTTTAATACACTTCCTGTCAGGCAAAACTTTTGGTCACAATCAATTACCAACTAAACATTTGAAAGTAAAATTTAGGTAAATAAGGACTGATCAACAAAACTGAATGTATTTGAAAATAATTCATGTGTATCACGTGTTTAAAAAGAGTGTGTGATGCAAGTGTGCCCCAGCACGTGAGGAATGTGTGTATCGTAATCTGCTGAAGGAGTAAAAGGAAGAGGCAGATCTCTGGTGGATTACAATTAAACATCTCTACGGGGACTTTGTTATATTATCTGTCTCCTTGGAGGCCCAGAGCTCTTTGTGCTGCTTGCGCCCGAAGCCCTCGTCGTAGTTGCCTTTGCTCTTGAAAAGCTGCTGGAAGTGGGGTTTGCAGTAAAACTCGCCTTGAAGAGCTGCGAAGGTGCCGAGGCTGCAGGGAAGGAGAGAGTCACCGAGTCATGAACTGAACAAGAAGTATTTAGTCCAAAACTCGTACAAAACCAAAACAGAGAGTATTCACCTGAGTTTGGCTTTGCAGTGTTTGCAGCAGAAGCACGTCGAGTGGAAGACCAGGTTGTCGGCAACCAATCTCTCCATGGGGTAGACCGTCTTCTCACATGATGAACACACTTCCTTAGGCGTCTTGAAGCTGAAGGACTGAACATAAACACGCAGTTTATTAACAGACCTGTGGTCTGGAAGCTGAAACTAACAAGATGAGAAATGTTACAAAAACAATAAAAAATGAACAGAATACCATAAAAGCCTGAGTTGCTTTCTTGTGAGATCAAAGGCTGATAAATGTGAAGCGTAGCGTGAGTAAAGTGCACAGACGTGCAAGGAAAACTTTTTTTTTTTTTTACCTTAGATCGCTGGACGGGTTTTTCGTCAGAGTTTTTTCTGGTGTCCTGGAAAAAAACAAAACAAAACAACAAAAAAAAACGTATTGAGACACATGAAAACTTTTTTATATTTCACACGTATTAGATCAAACCAACACAAGAGAAATGCTGGGGAAAAAGAATACTACTAAAGCAGCTGAAACTGAATTAGTAAAGTTAAAAACCAACAATACAAAAGCTAAAGTTAGCAAAACAAAAGCTAAAGTCTAAAATAAAATTAAAAAAAACAGAAACTAAGTGAAAATAAGCTAAACAGTAGCTAAATGCTAAGACCAGTAAAACTGCAGTGAAATGCTAAAACCAGCAAAGGTAGCTCAAAGCTCAAATTAGCAGAACACAAACAAAACAGTAGCTTAAAGCCCAAATCAGAAAAACAATAACTATAAGCAGCAAAACAGTAGCAAAATACTAAATCTGACAAAACAGTAGCTAAAAACTAAATCTAGTAAAATATCTAAAGTTATGAGCACAACAGTAGCTAAAATCCCAAATAAGCAAAACAATAACTATAAGCTTAAACCAAGAAAACAGTACCGGTAGCTAAAATATAAAATTAGCAATGCATAAATTAAAGACCAGCAAAACAACAGCTAAAAAAGGTCAAACCAGCTAGAATGATAACTAAAGTTAATGTTAGCACAACAGTAGCTAGAAGCTAAATTTAGCAATACTGTAGCTAAAAAGGTAAATATGAAATCAGCATCTTCAGAGTGCACATTTTTCAAAGATTTAGATTTCTTCATTTGTTTCAACAATACTTTTTAATATAAAGATAAATATTAAAAATTAAATAAAATTATATCTGTAATGTCCTGAATGAGCAGAACTTTTTCAATGAATGGTTATAAATAGCTGAAAGTACGCTGAAATAGTCTTAAATACGTAAACACATTAAACAGAACATTCTCAGACTCAGCTTACTGCAACAGAGCTGGGGACAAAGAACCATCAGAACATTTTGGTCTGACCGGATCACAGCAGAAGAACCCCAACATGATCGATGTTCTTTAATCTCTCCCCGTATGTTCTCAGTCGGATTAGTCTCTCTCCTCTGCTCCATTTGTCTCTCTGCACCCCAGGGGGCGGATCAGGTGCCTTCTGTCGGGTCATGAGAGCTGAGCTGTGGGTCGCTCTGCTCTGCTTGGAGCCGCCCTCAGCAGAACCACACAATCAGCTTTACGGTTAAGATGATTGTGTGCAGTTTCTCACCAACAGTGAAAACTCTTTAGGTGAAGTAACAGAACTGACGCAGGTGCTGCACATGTTCGTTTTCACACTTTCCCTAATTAAACCCCGATTTCACAGGTTTTGTTTTATTCTTTAGCTCACACTCAAACACACATTTATCATGTTGGAGTTCGACAGCAGCACTTTATGTTAAGGGTTTCTAGTGTGCTGCCGCAGCAGCAGCAGCCTTTTGTTTTCCAAGTTTTATAATAAAAGTTTTAAGTTACATTTTGAACTCGCCTCGCATTCTGGGTTCATCCGTAAAACAATCCAAACATTCCATGACAGAATGACTGCTGACAATCGTTGAAGAAGCTGAAACTAAAGCTTTAAAGCTAAAAGTAGCAAAAACTAGTTGAAAACAGGTAAAATGTGGCAAAAGTCTAGCTAAAACTAGCGCAAAGCTACAAGTAGGAAGCTAAAAAGGGTAAAAATAGCAAAACATGAACTAAAAAGGTTTAAGTAGCAAATTACAAACTAAATATATCAAAAAGGTAGTTAAAAGATGGTAATAGCAAAATGCTATATAAAACGTTACAAGTAGCAAAAGGCTTGACGATAAAAGATATGAAATGTTAGCTCAAAGTAACAAAACATGAGCTAAAAGATAAAGTAGCAGAATGCAGAGTGCGTGATTCACAGTTGGTATTTTGACATGTAGAATGGTTAAAGCAGCGTAAAGTTTGCTTCAGTCCAAAAACACAAGAAACAAAACTACAGCGAAATATAATCAAGAGAAACAGAATCACAATAGTGTGAATGCGGACAATGTCTGCCATCCCAAATACAGCGGTAGCAACAGCAAGCGAGAGCACACGTTTTTATTTATTATATAAATGTAAAAAAAAAAAAGGTTTCAGCACAACATTTTCCACCTGAGCAGAACGAAGGAGGGCAGCTTCTGTTCAGGAGGCAGGCCAAAGTCCTCTGCAGACTTTGCTGAAAGCCTGTTACGTAAGACAGTTGAGCTGGAGCTGGGATGGGTTAGAGCTGCAGATCGAAAGAATACTCGCAACAGAGATAACTGATCATCTAATGTTCTGGTGGGTTTATTACCGTTACAATCTTAAAGAAAAACTAATCTGCAATGCATGAAATGAACACATGAAACCACAAGTCAAGCAAAATAAAAGTTTTTGCTTATGTGTATTTTAACATATAAACTAAGTAGAAAACCTTTAAACATCTTTTATTAAAAAAAACTCATATTCATACAAAATATTTGGCTTCTATTGGAAAACAAGTATAATTTGGACACAGCTGTTAAAACTACTGAAATTAAATTAGATAAAACCAGTGTGACTTTGGATGTGCATCAACACAATTAATGCTGACAATGAAACCATTGTCACTGATGTGAAGCCAGATTAGAGTCGCGCACGGCTGCAACGACAGAAACTAAACAACTAACTGCTCGTATCGTTTCCTCTGTCGTGCTTCTCTTCCCGGTCTGTACAATTTGTTTAACCTTAACTGGCTACAATAAATTACTTAATTTTCAAAACCTAATTTCATTTGGTTTTTATGTTACCTCCTGTTTTCCTGGGTCATAACATCACTTGTACGTTTTTCTTCTTCTTTCGGCTGCTCCCTCCTTCAGGGAGCCACAGCAAACTAACGAAGACTTGACGATTGTTTTTAAGCCGGATGTTCTTCCTGACGCAACCACAGAGCACCGAGCTACCACAGCCCTCTGTGTGCAGCAGAGAGCTGCCATCTAGGGCACTCGGTGGGGGGTAAGAGCCTTGCTCAAGGGTCCAGAGTGGGGCAAATGAGGGTGGAGGCAGGTGTGAGTGCTTCACCTTTCGCACCCACCTTTTTTATGCTGTCGATCCGGGGGGCGTCAAACCGGCGACCACAGGCTCACCTTCTCTAACCTCTGCGCCACCAGTTTAATCCTGATAATTAACAGTGCATGCAATTTGTGTTTTATTTTAGGCCTGACTTTGTAAAAATGCCATTTCCACAAACGATAAGGAGAAACACCGAGGGTGCGGTTTGCATTTATGACAACCGGATGAGACGGTTTTGTAACGATTAGTGTATTAACAGTGAGCCGTTCTGCTTCCTGTTGATCCAATCCCATCTAAACATTCAGCTATCTCCTTCTCTGTTCCTCTTCAGAGCTGCTTGTTAGCAGACGACTCACTCATTTGCACACTAACCACTTCCTGTCGCTCTAGCTGCTGAAACAAGACGACTTTGATCTTTTCCCCTTTTTTAAATCAAGTTAAAGCTAAAGTTGGAATGAATTAAGTTTTTTTTTTCCCACTGTGTATTTATAGACTATTTTAAATGATGTGTGGAAATGGGGCAGCCATAAAAGGACATCTGATCAGTGGGGCCAATATTTTTCTGGTAAGGACGCCACAGTAAGATTAGATACTATATTAGGGTTTTGGTACCCGTTTCCACAAACGCAAACATCTCGCATGATTTCAGATTAGCCCGAAACATCTTGCCTTTTATTGCCTTATATGTACACAAGTGTCAGTTTCCACCAGACAGCTCGGATGTGGCAGGAAGCTGATATGACATTTGTTTTCCTCCGTCTCACAAAGAACTCAGACACGTGAAAGTTACTGAAGTGTCGATCTTCTGCAGTTTGTTTCTTGTAAATAGCTGTTGTTAACTAGTTATCAACACTTCACTGCAAAATGATCAAAGCAGGTGAAATGTGAGGATCTCTCTAGAACCAGAAAATCAATTAGGCATCTAATGTATTTAGCACAATTTTTCAATTCAATGTGCTTCTAAAGAAATTACATTTTCTGACAATGCAGCAGAAACCTGTTCAAGTTGAAACAAGCAGAACTCAACTAAAACGATCAAGAGCGTATCTAAATGATAAAATTGTCCAAACTGAAGCCAAAAGCTAGAATTACCACACCAGAAGGTAAAAGCTACAATTAAAATTTTGACAACGTAGCTAAAAGTGACAGATTAGAAACTAAAAGATAAATACAGCAAGTTTGCCCATGTAATTAAAAAAAAGAACAATATTTCAGAAGCAACTGATGAGATAATGTATTGCTACGGAGTACTTTATTTTAAAAAGGGCAAATTATACTCATTGTTTGGATACAGTATATAAACAAAAAGCACATTAACAAAAAGTTTGAGTCCAAAAAAAAAAAAGGCTGGGAAGAAACTGAAAACAAGAAGTGCTGACTCGGCATTTACACAAATATGTGCTCGTCTTACTAAAGGTATTTTTCAGCTAAGTATTTAAGTCTTGTTTCAAATTCCTTCACTTCAGTTTAATCTCTGCTCGTGTTTGTTGCAACACCCGGGAGCTCGCAGGTTGATTGCAACAGGTTCCTTGTTCTTTTTAAAACTGCTTATAGTAATACCTCTAAAAGTATCACATTACTTGGGGACCAAGATGGGGTAGAGGTGGGGCAGCCGACTTGGGACCAGGAAGCCGCAGGCTCAACTCCCTGTCATGCCCACATGCTGTGGTGTCCTTGAGCAAGACACTTAATCCCCTAATTGCTCCCCGGACGCCTACATAGGTGCCCACTGCTCCACCTGGGTGCATCTCGTGTGTGACGGGTTAAATGCAGAGAACTAATTCCATCATTGTATGAAAACATACAACGATGGCCACACACAGCACGTTACCTTACCCTCCTTTCTACGAGTAAATCATTGATGCGTTTGCTCAGTCTGAGGCTACAGCTTAAGTCAGACTTAGTTTTTCCTTCTGCGGATTAAACAAATAAGATATGAACTTTAAAAGTGAGGCTAGATGTTTAAAAAAAAAAAATCTATCTTCT